GTACAGGCATTTAAAATGTCTTGTGGTTGTTAACATCGACTGTAAATGGATAAAATGAACATGTACATTTGATCTTTTTTTCTAGAATAATCATCATTTCTATGGAATATCATTTCATTTCTATTCTAAGGACTGGGACATTTGATGGCCAGTCCAGTGGTAAAAAATATTTTCCAGATACCCAATCAAAAAAACAGGTGAACATAAACAAGGAAGATAAATTATGGAGGAGGAGGAGCAGGAACCAACACAGATCCAATTAGAGGTGTGCTACTGAATGTAACTGTGTGACTGTGAAGGAAATTAGAGCACAGCACATCATTTATCATTGTTGCATCACATTAAATAGAATAAATAGTAAGGATGTATTTTAAATAAATCATTCAATTAAAGTAGCTGTTAAGTCAAACTAGGTGTGTAATCATTAGTACATTAATTCAGCTTTGAATTTCTGCTTTCAGTACACAAAAACATCAAGGGGAAAAATCAGGAAAATTAGTTTCATTGTTTTATATTTTAGCAGATGACCAGTATGAATGAAAAGATTGCAGGCTTTGTAATTAAGGAATTGTTGATCGACTAATTCCCGGGATGCTTTTTGTTGCCCGACTGCTGCTGTGTCAGTGCACCACAGAGGTGTCATGTTGTTAGATTCCATTCGGCCAAGAACAGTCACCCTGTATACTGGATTGACAGGTGTGAACTTGGAGCACGGCAAACTTTTTTGCATGAATAAATATATTTCACAGGAAACATAATACCAAGTTTCTGTTCTTCAAACACTTTGGTCCAAAGCAACAGTGAAAAAAATGATATTGTTGGATTGACATTGATTGAAACATTGAAAATGTTTTTTCTATACTTCTCAAATTCTTATTGAATTTCCCTTCTGGGATAAATACGGTATTTTTCATTTCATTTCAAACAAGTATAATAATATCAAATGGTTCAGCATTCCAACACAAATAGGTGTTCAAAATCCCTCTTTAGTACATTGGAAAGTATGCAAGATTACTATTTGAAAAGTAAAATGCAATGTGTCTATGTGTGAAATATACCCTTGTAGGCTGCTATGTGTTTTAGTTACAGTATTTTCTTAAGGTTTCATTTTAGCCTGAGATGTTTATGACTAAAATTCAAATATTGGTTCTGCCCAAACTCTTTTCTGTGCATTTACCTGCTACAGCTGCATGTCTGTGTTTGGCTGCGTATGTGCCAGGAGCACGCAGAGCCATCATCACCTTGCTGCTGTGTAAGCCTGGCCTCCGGTGCTCTAATCATATCCTGCTGTCTGGATGTGTGCAGGCTAACAACAGGAGATTGCAAGGCAAAATGCATAATCAGCTCCACGTTGACAGTAACCAAACAGACCTATTCTTTCTCACCGACCACCACTGTGTTAAAATTCAAACTGTGAAGAGAAAACAAAATATTGCAGTATGTCCCATGAAATCGAGATGTGCTGATTTTTTATAAGTTTGTAAAATCTAATTTATGCTTTGTTGCTCAGCCCTTTTGCTAGTTGTGTCTCTGCTACGTCAAGTACCTTGATGAGTGTGAGATGATGGAAACATAATTAGACTAATTACATTGTGAATATTTTCTAAATTCTAAATGCTTGGTCGTAAGCATGTCTGAGCTATATTAATTTCTACAGATGGACACAGAAGGACAGTGAAATGAATTTGCAGATATGATTATGCTTACATGGAAAATAAAAAGCATATGTCATCCAAACAAGCACCGCACCATGACCGTCATTTGTAGTAGGTGGGATGTTATATTGCATAGACGATATTATGTTTTTAAAGATGGAAGTGTAAACTGTGTTAAAAATGCTTGTGAAATGCACAAACAACCATTGCAACCTTTTCTCAGCATTTTTTTAAGTGGCCACTGCACTGTTTGAAATCATCCCTTTTTTAGAGGAAACCATTGGCAGTTCTCCATGTTTTAAATGCCTACAAATGTTGGCAACAAATCAAAAAGGTGCATTTCTGCTTGAGCTGCTCTTAGATCATTTACAGACAAGAGTCCAAGCTGCTTCTAAGCATCAGATAAAAGGGAAAATGGTGCTGGACGAAAGATTAAGATGTGAGGTCATGTGTAAAATGGGTGCCAGGAGACCGAGAGAGCGAGAGAAAGAAGGAGGTGATGTTTACTGTGATGGTTATCCTCCGGACTTTGAACCTACATGTGCTTGCTTATCGCTAAATCTCATTTATTTATTATCTGGGAGTGAGGCTGCAGATGCTGAATCAGTTTGTCCTTTCACGTCGAGATAAATGAGCTGATCAAAGCAGTCTGGCCAGCACGTTGTTCCTCAGAGGCTTCATCGTCCCTCAACACTTTTCAGAGAGGTGACTGAGGATAATACTTTAAATTGTAAAGAAATAATACATCTCAAGTGGCCACTGATTCAAAACGATTTATATTTTATATGTAGTTTAGTTTTTAATTGTCTATTTAATAATGTATGCATATTGAAAGGAAACAAGCAAACTAAATGAGATTTTAAAATCGTGGTCTGGCATCTGCTTCCCTGCTGGCTATTTATTCTCCTGACAATGTTGCTATTCATAAAGCTGCACCAGGTGCAAACTGTGAAAACTGGGAAGTGGAAACATTGTAGTTAACTGTGCAACAATACAATAAATCATAAACTATGGTGGCAATGTGATTTATGGTGATACTGTTTTATAATATGTCATGCCGGAACTAAGGCTCAAATGAGCACTTCTGCCCCTTTTGCTGGGACAAAATTGTTTATTAGTGTTTATTAAAAAATGATATATGAGTATTTTATGAGCTGTCAGCATAGTCTGACTCACAGAATTTAGACTTCTGGTGAAAGCCAGCCATTTCCACTCCACCATCCTCCCCACCTTTTCATATTATTGTGACAAAATCTCTTTAGTGACAAGAAACAGCAACAGCTGAGCAGCAACCTAAATGGTAAAAATTATAAAATATGCTGAGGGTTTAGATCATGCAATAAGGCGGGCCTGCTAGTTTTAATGACAGTGCTTGACTTCCTGCATGCAAACGCTTGCCCTTACAGGAGAATGATCATGGGATGTAGTCAGACCATTCTCCAGCACTGAGACAGCACTATTGGTTGTATTGTAGTCAATATCATCAAACCAAGACCAAGTAATGATCAACTGCCACAGGGTGAAAGCAGGGAACACCCTGGACAGGTCGCCAGTCTGTCACAGGGCTACACGTATACAAGGTTTTTGTTACTTTCATTTTATGAAAAATGTTTTTAGTTCATTTCTTAGTTCTAGTATTATTTTACTTCCAAACCTACTTTGATAAATATTTGCAAAAGTCCACCTGTATTTGTGTTTTTGATGTAACTGAATGATCATTCTTGATCATGGAAACACTGGCTGTCGTAGGAGCTTTCAACCACATGGTCTTCTTTAGTGGATGGAGCTGATGTCCTGGTGATAGCTCAGCTGATGTGAGCTTACTTTGGTCGCTTGATGAGAATTGAGCGAACTCCTTCAGCTGAAGACAGGTATAACAAAGGTAGTAAGTGAATTTTCACTCAATGCTTTTTCTTCACTTTGTTTCTAACTTGTCTCAGGCAGTTTCTCTATTGTTTGAAAATGAATCATACAGTGTAATAAAACTAGCCCATAATGTGTGATAAGATGTAACATCAAATGACCAGTGAACAGGCACACATTGCTTTGAAATCACTCTGGGAATGGACGTTTCAAGTTGGTTTAGTTTTTGCAGTCTGATTGCTACTGTGTGGATTTATTATTCATCAGTAATTATAGCTCACATCCAGCTTCATGGTTTTATCCACTGATTTCTATGGAGTGCTTCCAAACTAATTTTAGACCTTTTTTTGTTAAATAATCCATTTCAGTTCATCACTGATCCCCAAACACGTGGCTCTCTGCACTATTGCCCTCTATCATCCATCTGGCCACTTCAGACGACGGATGCCGGCAGTGGTTAGAAAAACAGTTACCATAACAATAACCACTTGACTGCATCCTCAAAAATCACTTTGAGCTGGTTGAGTGACTTCTGTATTCATGGATGTAAAGAAATCTGAATTTAAGGCTGTTGAGGTCAAGTCTTGATGAGATTGTGATGCTCAGATGTAGAGTAGGATGGTATTCTGCCAGAGGACTTGTCCGCACCACAGATCCTAAAAAGTCTAGCCATCTGGACATTTGGATTACCTCTAGCTGTTTCTTGGCAGCAGATATTAAAGCTCAGTTTTATATAAGCTGCTGTGATGTATTCTATTGATTTATTGTGTGTTTGAGCAAGATAATTACCTGATTGGATAATCTTTCTCACAGCTTAATTTACACATACACCCCACACTGATGGAGAGAGACATGGTATGAATGGACACTACATCAAATGACCAATCTGTTATTGCAACTGCATGAGGTTCAGACTTGTGCTGTGTTGAAAGTGCCCTGATTTTTACAGAAAAGTGAAAAAAAATGTTTAACCAAAACATGTTTCATATTAGGATTCCTGAAAGTAGCCAGTGGTTACCTTGATCACAGCCTTTCACACTGTTGCTAATATCTTAACAAGCTTCATCACCTGCAGTACTTTCCAGTTAACGCCAGAGGAAAATCTTACTGCTCAAAGCTCTTCTTTAGCTCAGGAGGCAAAATTGTGATTTTTGTTTCAGACTTATGTTTTTTATTGTTTTGTTTCTTAAACTGAGACACTCACTTGTTGTTTAATACTAATACAAATACAAAATAGCAGCTGTACAGAGTTATATATATATATTTTAGATATATAGCTCAATTGTACCATTTGTCAAGGTTAGGAAGCATGTCCTTTAAGTTTCAAGTATATTCAAAACTAAAACAAGGTTTGAATGACAATGACAATTTTGAAGCTATAGAGGAGCAAGCTTTGAGTGGTAAGATTTTCCTCTGGATAGTGTCTTCTTAAAAGTTAGCTGGTGGAATTTCTTGCCTTGTTAATGTCTTTGTGACCATCAGTTATGTTGTGCTGGTGTACAGCTAGTAATCCTGTTCAGCTGTTGCAGTCATCCATTTTATGGTAAGAAGCCCTCAACGAAACAAAGAGACACAACTGCCCATCAATATTTAAAGACATGGGGATCAGTCAGTACAGGAAGTTTCAAGAAACTGTCTCTCATCACGTCAACAGTAGAGCAAGTGTTCAGCCTCAGAAACACAACAATTTATGGCACCTCTGATTAGAGCCCACGTCAATGCGTCCCAGAATTCACGCAGCAGACACATTTCAACATCAAGGGAGGAGATTGTGTGAACTAACGGTGGAGCTGCTACAAAGAAACCACTATTGAGACAGGCAGAGAAGAAGAGAACAGCTTGCACCAAGAAACACAAGGAATAGTCATGAGACCAGTGGAAATCTGGACTTTGGTTTGACAAGTCCACATGTGAGGCCAACAGACGGCTATTTCACTAACATTTAATCTGTAGACGTGTCCACTGTATCATTTTCTGTCAATATCAGATAAAGTATGTTGATTTTTGTATTCTTCAGGGTGATTATTATAATACATACTGTGTACAATTACTCTCTTATTGAATTGGGGCATGCATTTTCTATATATGAGTGTGCTGATGAACATTATTGCAGTGCACAGACAAAATGATGGAGCAACTTAAAGCTGCAAAACATTACAGGACCCTTTGGTTTTTGGCGAGGTAGGAAAAATGCAAATCTATATTTTACTAAAACATGTAACTTTTTGAGACGTTTATCAGGCCTCACCATTTAAAAGTCACATTTTAAACTTGTGTGTTCATTTTACCCCTTTAGTGCAAAGCAGACAGGTAATAAAAAAAAAAACCCTGGATCCTATGATACTTGTATGTTGTATTCATATGATACTGGAACGGGTGTTACTGAAGGGAACAGCTCTCACGTGCTCGTGCTGTAAATTGAACTGAAAGTGAGCACACGCGTAAAAACAAAGGACAGCACTTCCCCACAAATACCTCATTGAAGGCATTGGAAATCACAGACTTGTGACTATGTCCATGCCTCGATTTTGTTTTTGTGCAGTGTGATATAGCTGTCTGGTCTTTTTCCACAGAGGGATGACCTCACTAATTCCTTGAATGCCTGAAACGACCCAGTCCGTGAAAAACACCTTTTGTTTTGGTTACATATGACCCCATCTGCTGTAAATTTCCCCCATTTATTCTCCTCTCACCCCCTTCGCCTTCTCTCTCTCTCTCTCTCTCTCTCTCTCCCTCCCTCCCTCTCTCTCTCTCTATCTCCCTCTGTGTGTGTCTGGTGTGATTGGCCAGTTTTCAGTGCATTTTGGAGGTATAAAACCACGGCTGGGGGCGGAGAGAAGCGCAGCCTGCTGTCTAATACAGAAGGACGTTGCTATAAAAAATTTGCTCACAAGTGCACTGTTATCTCTTTGTTATTATTTCCAACAACAGTACTGACTTTGGATCTTCAATACACATATCATGTGTAAAGGACTTGCAACTCTTCCTGCAACATGCTTGAAAAGGTAAGCTCAATGTAATTTGAACAGAAGGTGGATGCAGGTGTTTTTGTCTTCTTGCAAAAATTACTGAAGTAAAAGTATTTTTTGAACAAGATCTGTTTACATGTTAAATATTTAAAATGTAACTTTTTTTAAAATAAAGGACTGACACAGAAAACAGCTGGCAATCTGCGAACCGCTTGTTTACATAAAGCAGATCTTCGTGCAAGCAAGTCTTTGCGCAGATATTGTTAATGCAAACAAGTTCAACTGCATTTCACTCCCTATTCACTGTCTGCTTCTCCACAGTGCCAAAGACATCAAGCACAAAATCAGCTTTCTACTCCAGAAGCCTGAACCCCAAGCAGCCGATCAGAAGCAGGGAAAGGAGAAAACTGCCACTGCTGCTGCAAAGAGGTCAGAGGAGCTGTTGGCTCAGTTTATGCACAATTTAGAATAGTATGTTAATTCTCTCAATCCCAAAGAAAGCTCAAAAAGAGAATCTAAGTACATTCACAAGGCTGATGACTAAAGCTACAAATTGTTGGTTCATACATATTGCATTAAAAGGAATTTATGCACTGTATTTAAATGTGGAAGAACTGCACTGGTAGTTCTTGATAAGGGGGTTTGTGTTAGCGGCATCCAGTGAGGACACATTTCCGCAGTAATAAAATGATATGTGTCTTAGGGGCATTTTCACTGACTACAACTACTTTTTATCCACCTTCAGTGCTGAAACAAGGAAAGAGTCTTGGCTGGTGCAAAGTGCAAACTGTAGACCTTTAATATTGACATGTCTCTGAATGAAGGATTTCTTTCAGTAGTCTAAAGTTTAAGTGAAAAGAGATGATGAGAAAACAGAGGAATGGGTAGTGATTTCCTGCTTGATTTTTCGAATGTATTGGATAAGTGTCTGTTCTGAAAACAGTCTGTGTTTCCTTTGATGACCGTAATTCTACTCTGCAGGTGTTGGCGAGTGTGAGGAAAATGTATTACATCTGTATAATTGATTGACATATAATCACTGAAGGCATATTATGTCTTGTTCTGGGCTTATTTTGGTCCTGACCTTCCTGCAGGTTGTGTTTCCACAGGAAGCCTATTATTGTTGTTTTTGAGAAAGTTAGCAGTGGCTGTGTTTACTCTGACCTTTCTGTTTTTGTAACATGTAACCCATACAGACATAGTTATAGATAATCAATATTCAGTTTTCCTGCTAGAAGTGTTCAGCAGCAGTTTCACACACTTCATGCACAGCACTCAGAGTCTTTCTGCATCGATGACCATAACTCATGTGATGTATAATATAGGTTAATAGATTGCTCTTTTCTCACTTGGTATAGCATTGATTTTTATCATTATTGCTGTTGTTTCTAAGGTAATGGAATCTTTAAGGAGGCATTGTTACACTAAAGGTTTTACTTAGCAAATGTCACATGACCCATGCCGGCAGGATTAGATTTACTGCAATGTTGATCATTGAATTGGTGCAGCTGGATGAGCTGTTGTAATTTAGACTCAAAGGAAAACGTCCTTATAAATGTAGTGTATAATTCCTATTTTCTAAATACAGTTTTTTAGGTGAGAGCGCATTTAATCAACAGGCTGATTTTTCCACCTCAGTCAGTGGAGGAGGCCTGACAACTACCTTATTAAACCTTATTTTTTCAGACAGTAGAAATAGTTCAGTACAAAATTGGGAGTACATGCTGTGTGGGATGAAAACTCTGCAGCTAATGAAACGCAAATTTCGGGAGTCTCTGCTTTGCATTGAAATACATATATTTTTAATTGCTTATATGGTGAGTCTGTGTCGTCTTATTTAAAAAGCATTCTTTGTGTTTTAGGGAACCGAATGGAGCTGAGGTGGAGAAATGGAAAGAGTCTTTCAGCCACATGATGAGCAGTGACAGTAAGTGGAACACTGTCATTTCACACCTTAAAAAAATGAAGCTAAATGAGAGCAAGGCAATGATTGTTCAAACTCAACGCAAGTCCAGAGGACTTTGTTTGATCCTAATAATGCTGCCAGTAACTGTAAGGCAGATGCTTGACTCATTACTTCTCAGCAGAATGTCTCTCTGGATTTATAAAATGACCAAAGTGCACACAATTGTGCAACCATGGGAATACCATTAGACAAGGCCATGACTTTGACATTCCTTGCTCGTGGTTTGCCAGTAAGGTTTTGACCATCCCAAATGTGATGCTTAATCTCATGTTGCGCAGTTGGAAGCCACAAAATTGAAAGTAAAATCGCGAAAGTACAGCAGATGGTAAGGTGTCTGATAAATGCTAATTAAGTAGCATCACCCTGCTCACAACATCTGACACATTAGCACAGTTATCATGATGTGAAAGAAAGGTTAAAGACGCTTGGCTGGGACACAGAAGTTTGAAGCGCACGCAGACACAGACCCTCTTTCCATTCTCATGCCCTGGTTTTAGGCTACGTGTTACAAGGCAGTACTGAATGGCCCCTCAGGGCGTGCTGACCAGTAACAAGTATGTCTGTGTCTGTGTGTGTGTGTGTGTGTGTTTGTGCATTAGCCCTCTGAGAATCACACTGTTTGTGAGTAAAGACAGAAAATGGGAGCGATGGCCTTGCGGGAACCAGCTGAGTTCTGATCTGCTCAGTTCCATGACCTCATCCACTGACCTCTAAAATCGTCTTCCTTCGGCCTTCCCGTATACATCTGTCAGCTCTCATTGGTTCAGTCTTCCTTTGTTTATCATATCATGACCGCAGTGGTCATTTCAATTTGTACTCTAAGTCAAGTAGAACTTTGCAGCAGTGCAGCTGTTGCTGTTGAATTTTCCAATAATATGACGTCTATAAAAACGCATCTGTTCGTATACTGCGCACGTCTATTAGCTGGTTTGATTACTGCAATATTCAAGACAGGATGCAACATGAGTGGCTACATGAGTGCAAAAGTTGTTGGGGAGATAATATTTATAGATGTCACCAAAAATGGGCTGCAAGGTGGCGCAGTTGGTAGCACTGTTGCCTCGCAGCAAGAAGGTTGCCGGTTCGCGTCCCGGTGGGGGCACCGGAATCTTTCTGCGTGGAGTTTGCATGTTCTCCCCGTGCAGCCTGGGTTCTCTCCGGGTTCTCCGGCTTCCTCCCACACAGTCCAAAAACATGTTGAGGTTAATTGGTGATTCTAAATTGTCCGTAGGTGTGAATGTGATTGTGCTTCTTTCTCTAAGTGTGGCCCTGTGATAGACTGGCGACAGGGTGTCCCCTGCCTTCGCCCTAAGTCAGCTGGGATAGGCTTCAGCCCCCCCGCGACCCTAATGAGGATTAAGCGGTGTATAGAAAATGGATGGATGTCACCATAAATGCCTGTGGATATACTGAAACACTGGCTGACAACTCCCAGACTGCATAAAGTTGGCAGGAGAGGAGTATTCCAACATAAAAATGATCCAAAGCACACTGCCAAAATCACACAAGAGTTTTTCAAGAAAAAAAAAAGAAGTGAAAACTATGACCTGGCCAAATCTAATGGAACACTTTTGATATATTTTAAAGAAAAACGTGAAACCCTCCAGCAAAAAGCACCTGAAACATTGTCTCTGAAGAATGACAGAACATCTTCAGAAGTTTGTGCAACACTGGTTTTCTCCATGCCGATGAGAATTGAGTCTGACATATAAGAATAAAGGTGGTCATATCAAATGTAGAAAAAGAAAAGATTTAAATTTCAGTCATGAAAGGTGAAGCTGTGGGGCCTCTATTTTTAAAAGAGCAAATCTATACTGTTAGATTTTAATTCTACAGACAGAAGGAAATGCCCTACTGCTAAACTTAGAAGTGATACAATTACTGTAAGTTGGTACAATTTAGAAATATTTAAGTGATGTTGCATTTATTATGTACTGTACATGCCTATACCTGCAGTAATGGGTCTGTAAAATGCATTGGTCGTTAAAAAGAAATATTCTCTCTGTTTCTGTATTAGCTGGTCGCACTGTCTTCACCAGCTTCTTGAGGTCAGAGTTCAGTGAAGAAAACATGGATTTCTGGGTCGCTTGTGAGGACTACAAGAAGACCACACCCTCCAAGTTGGCAACCAGAGCCAAGCAGCTCTACCAGCAATATGTTGAGGCAGATGCTCCTAATGAGGTAAAGATATTTATGCAATAATACTGGTGATATAATCTGTGTGTGTGTGTGTGTGTGTGATAAGTATAAATAATATAAATAATAAAATAAAAAGTATTAACTGGGCAGTTTTCTATGGAAAAACACAAAGTGTAAAATGCGGAAAACACAGCAAGCCAAAAGTGACTCCAAAGAGGCAAAAAAGAGAGGCTGGAAAAAGACGAAGTAAAGGAAGCAATCGCTGACATGTTTGAGAGCCACAAACACACTTGAGTTTTATTAATGCAGCTGCACATTCCCCTCCAGTGAAGTGAATACTTAAAGCTAATTGTGATTGCATAGCTATGAATATACATGTGAATAACACTGTTAATGACCATTCAGTCATGGTGCTGATCAAAGAGAAAATTGCAGTGGTTTTAATCCAGGGAAGGTAGATGGTTAGAACTGGTGAGGGAAATCTAAGACATTACTCATTTCAGTGCTTTTAGGTTCACTTTTGATCTCTGTTTGTACCAGAGAAAATAGAGTTGAAAAGGTGCAACTTGCTGCACTTTTCACCCAAGTTTGTCCTTTGCCTAATGATGGTTTTAATGGTGGTTTTGCTTGAGCTGTACTTCCCATGAACTGTCAGGATTTTCAATATTGCCTTCTGTCTTTACTGTTTGAAACTCATGTATTTAATTGAGCTAAAAAGCTAATATACTGCTTTTTTAAGGAAAAGCTTTTGCAGTCTTCCCTTCTGATGGTCTTTTTCCATGTACAGTCTGTGACAAATGAATGGACAAGCCTAAGTAAATGAAGGGAGAAACACAACTCACGCAGATGCTTCCACACATGTGCACTACAAAGGACAGTTAAGCTTTTAACATCCAATCATGCCCTGCGGAAGATGACAGGAGGAAAAGATCTAACTGTCTTCGAAAGAGGGTTCAGTGTTGGGACACTGATGGCAGGAGCTTCAGTCACAAAGATCACTCAGGTGGCTTGTGTTTCAATAGACTGTCCGCAAGATCAGTCCATTGACAATTACAGAAAGGAACAGGGCAAGTGCATGTCTAGTGTACCCCAAGAGAACGGTACAGGTCTAAATGTTTGACTCCTACAGTGGGGACATAGTTTGAGACAACTTACTATACCTCAGTATGACACTTTATCTGGGTTTTTCCTTTAATTTGTCAGTCATCTGTATGTCAAACTAAAAGTTCATACCCTTGAAATGCCATCACATTTTGTCTTTTTACCTTGAACTCTTCTTTTCTCATACTCTTTGTAATTTAAGGTGAACTTAGATGCAGCGACTAGAGAAGAAACAAGGTTGAATGTCGAGAACGCCTGCCCGTCTTGCTTTGAAGAGGCTCAGAAGATGATCTACACATTAATGGAAAAAGACTCTTACAGGCGCTTCCTCAAATCCAAACTGATGCAGGATCTGTGTCAGAAACAGATCTCCACTGTTAAGGGGAAGAACGAGAAGAAAAACTGTGAGGGTGCTGACAACAGGGACGCATTAGCTGGTGGTGCTTAAGCAGGAAGAAGGCAAGACTTAAAAAGGCACCAAAGACTGTTAATGTGTGAGGAACTGGCAAAGTTACTAAGGTTTGTGTGTCCAGTGTTTATATAGTCAGAAAAACAGTGGTTTTGATGGTGACTTAAAAAGATTCATGTGAGAGATGTTTTTTCCTTTTTTGATACTTCCTGCAGATATTGGGCACCAGTTAAGAATTTGAAATGTTTCTCTTGTGAGTACATCCAAGGAAGATGTTAATATTTCGTGTTTCTGCACTCACCATCAGCTGTAATGTGTCTTTCCAGATCAGAAAGGTTGATATAGACTGGTTGAATATTGAACATGTTAATATACAACACAAATAGAGACGTGTAACTAAATGTTTGCATTGCGAAATTTAGCTCTTGCTTCTGGTTTCACTGCAAAACATAACCTACTCTCCATGTTCTGACCAGGTATTATTGATAGTTACAACAGAAACAATCTAAAGCTACCTCTACCCAATGAGCACACCTTAAATAACAATGCTACCACATTATATCAGTAGAAGATCACAGATTCTTTGTTTTAAGTAATAACTATGGCAAGTACCAATATTTTCAAACTAAGATGTTCAGAGCCTTTCAAGAAAAACTCATCTTCTCAGTGAATGATGACAACATTGGCACCAAATTCATAAAGATGGAAGTTGACTGTGTTTAATAAAAAGATTTACACATTTGAAAGAATATTTTAATATATTCTAAAATATAACATAAAATAGTTAACCCAGTGCAGATCATGAGAGCAAAAACCATAATATTTTCATTCAATTTGCAGTAAGTTTTGGCTATCGCTGTATGGCCACATTACACTTCTTTTCCACCTTTCTGACTGAATTTTACAATTACTTAGCCATTGCTTACTACTTACTTAGCTTTACAATAGTTTTTTTTTTTCATTTCCCACTCCCTGCTTATTGCAGATCACATGTTCACATGTGCAACAGTAGATGGATATTATCAATGTCTGGTTTCATTGTTTCATGTAAGTAAGTTTAACACTTAATCATACTAACAACAGACTTTGCAGTATAAACATCTAGACGTGATCTCTGCACTGTCAATATGTTGGCTTTGTCTACTTCTGGTATAAATTATAAGCATGCTTTTATCTCAGTAGTAGAACCAGTCGTAGGGATTTTCTGTTGCATGCCATATAGTTACTAAATAGCAGGTGAAAAGTTTAAATAGTGTCTATTTGATACATTTTTAAGTGTTCCCTTGTAACCCATGATTTTATGTTCAAATGTTCAGTGTAATTTGTGCAGGGTACTTAATAATGTATTTACTTCAATTGGAAATATTTTGGTGGCCTTCCATATGACAGTGTTCTATTTAAATGTATACTGTGATGGATCAAAAATGACATACTGTGTGTAGATATTTATTAAATAATGTCCATGTCCTATTTATGTCGTATCTGATTATTCTCACAAATAAAATTATGTGCTGGATAATGACAACATGTGGTGTGTATGCTCAGTCTTACTTTAGTTTAATGATCCCACCAGAGTATAAGTCACCACTGTTACACAGTATGTATACACACGTGGACTAAATTGTTGGTGCCCCTCGGTTGATGAAAGAAAAACCCACAACGGTCACAGAAATAACTTGAATCTGACAAAAGCAAGAATAAATGAAAATTCTAGGAAAATTAACCAATGAGAATCAGACATTACTTTTGAACCGGGGTTTAACAGAATTATGAAAAAAAAATAAACTCATGAAACAGGCCTGGACAAAAATGATGGTACCCTTAACTTAATATTTTGTTGCACAACCTTTAGAGGCAATCATTGCAATCAAACGATTTCTGTAACTGTCAATGAGACTTGTGCACCTCTCAGCAGGTATGTTGGCCCACTCCTCATGAGCAGACTGCTCTAGTTGTCTCAGGTTTGAAGGGTGCCTTCTCCAGACGGCATGTTTCAGCTCCTTCCACAGATGTTCAGTAGGATTTAGATCAGGGCTCACAGAAGGCCACTTCAGAATAGTTCAGTGTTTTCCTCTGAGCCATTCTTGGGTGTTTTTAGCAGTGTTTTGGCTCATTATCCTGTTGCAAGACCCATGACCTGCGACTGAGACCAAGCTTTCTGACACTGGGCAGCACATTTCTCCCTAGAATGCCTTGATAGTCTTGAGATTTCATTGTACCCTGCACAGATTCAAGACACCCTGTGCCAGATGCAGCAAAGCAGCCCCACAACACAACAGAGCCTCCTCCATGTTTCACAGTAGGGACACTGTTCTTTGCTTGATATGCTTCATTTTTGCATCTGTGAACATAGAGCTGATGTGCCTTGCCAAAAAGTTCCAGTTTTGTCTCGTCTGTCCAGAGGACATTCTCCCAGACGTTTTGTGGCTTGTCAACATGCAGTTTGACAAATTCCAGTCTGGCTTTTTTATGATTTGTTTTCAACAATGGTGTCCTCCTTGGTCGTCTCCCATGAAGTCCACTTTGGCTCAAACAATGACGGATGGTGCGATTTGACACTGATGTACCTTGACCTTGGAGTTCACCTTTAATGTCGTTAGAGGTTGTTGTGGGCTCCTTTGTTACCATTCGTATTGTCCGTCTCTTTGATTTATCATCACTTTTCCTTCTGTGGCCATGTCCAGGGAAGTTGGCTACAGCCAAGGATCTAAAATTTCTTACTTTCTAAATTTTTATTTTTTTTTTATTTTTACTTTTGTCAGATTCAAGTTATTTCTGTGACCATTGTGGGTTTTTCTTTCATTAACCGAGGGGTACCAACAATTTTGTCTATGTGTGTACATTGTCTGTAAAAAAAAAAAGTGCCATTTCAGCTACTTAACAACCTTTGACTGCTCCTTAATATTTCAGTAGGTTCAGTAGTATGTTCTGTCCTCCCAGAACCCCCTCCCTCAGTATTTGTCTAACATACTCACACTGGAGACCAGCTGAGGCCACAGCTTCTTAATCTCAATGACTTCATGAACAGCATCCATCAAAGGGACTCTGAAATCCACAGGCAGAGTTGGTCACAGCACCAGATCTGGTGATGGGACTGTAAGTTGTTGGTTTACATATACCAGTATTTGCCAGCCCTCAAGCTGTTCCACACTGGTCTTTGGTGGGATCTTCTACTGTTTATATTCCCCTTCCAGGAGCAAATGGCACTGGCTGAGATGGATCAAATCTCCAAACTGGCAAACTAAGGTTGGCTGTTTTGTGACGACATGGTTGTGTCTTCAAGTGGCCCCTCCTTGAGTGGGGCTCACTTTACACCTATAAAAGATATGCTTTAGTGTTGCTGGTAATGAACACAGGCAACACAATGGATCTTTGCCTCGCTAAGCGGTTGAGATTTTGAGGTACAGGAAGGACATTGTCAGTTTCTTGAATGAGCAACCATGTCCTGCTTGTTTCAGTCTGCTCCAAGTCCTTCAAGCTGATAATCCTCTGGCCCTGTTTGGCTTGTGACATGGCCTTAGCTCACCCTATTGACTCCTCCTGTTGGAAACTTTAGCCAAAACCAACTTCCCTACTGTAGTGAGGATGTGTTGCCTCAGCAATATCATAGCCTCAGTCTACAATCACTGACATGACTCAGATTCTTCAAGCTGTGCATTTGTTTTATCATGTTACAACGTGTGGCTAACTGATGAGGGGAACTGAAATCTGAAGTGGTTGGAAACCCTTGCTGCTTGCTTTCCCTTTAACAGATGTGACCTTGTGGGTAACGTTCCAGCAACGTTTCAACATAGTTCCAGTAGTTGTTGGAAGTGAGTGACTTTGATGTATTAGAAGTAACGTGACCAGCACATAGCCACAGCCAATAAGAAATGTCAGCAAAGGTGATACGTCACTGTAGTCAGCCATGAAGCGCCTACTACCATGCTTGTACCAAGTTCGCTACTCTGCCTTTTTCATGCGATGTTACGAAGTTCCCAGTCAGAAATTTAAACTGGAACATAATGGACAGTTAGAAGAATCTCACCAACCCTGAGCTCAAAATCCCGGATACGTGTTCTGCACATCAACACTAGTGATAGCTATAGTATTGTGCTGTAGCAATTACGTCCTTTTAGTGTTTTGTTAAATCAGTTGTACTCACAGTATTGTCCAACCTGTTCCTATGGATATGCTGTCATGTACTTTGGAGGTGCGAATATGATGTAATGTGTTTCAGGTATTGCTAACAATTTATCACAATGCCTAAAACTGACAACATAGGTTTTCCTGGAGGTGTGATTCTTGGTTTTTTGACTTCTGGAACGCGGCCAATTTGAATGTAAGGTCACTCCCAGCTCCCACTTCCGAGGTAAATGAATTGAAGCAGTTGCCCACAATGTGAAAAGCAGATATTGCCTGCTGCGATGCTTTCTTGGCAGTCCACTTCCATCCTTTTGTCAAAGTTGGGGTGGCAGCTCTGACCACTATGTCTGGAGGCCAGGGAAAGGCCTCACAGACGAATATCTGCACAAAATTACATTGCAGTCGATCTAGTAGTTGTTGATATATTTCAGTCTGGAGCTGAGTGGTGACATAACAGACTGATGTTTCCATCCCAAGAGCCTCGTCATGAGTATGGCTAAATAAAGTACATATGTTTGTTTTTTCAGTAGCTCCAGCTGTTCTTTAGTTAAGTACAAATCCATACAGCAGATTTATACACATAATCCAGACAGGGCAGCGACTTTTTCTTGCTTTCTGGCTGATGGTGATTAAAACTCGTTCTCCTCTATACTTAAAAAAAAAATTGTGTGATCTTGACCGCAAGCCTTACGTCTAACAACAACAATGTGGTTATTTTGTAAAAACACTTGTGATGTGAAGATCATGAGACTTGGCCATTTTTTTTTCTCCGTGAAGAGATATTTGAAACAACTTTTTTATGATCTTACCATACTCGGTAATCACACAGTAATCATCCATAATCAGCAGGCTTAAAGTAGTCTCCGGCAGTGATTGCATAATGCTGGAAAATCATACATGATTATCATAATCTAACATTATGTAATAATCACCGAAGGACATTTTGCAACAAGAAAAAGAGATTTTAGTGTCAAAAAAACATTTTCATAATCAAGACATATTTCACATCCAAAACTTTGCATTGATGTGCATCTTTTATTTAATAGTAACTTCTGAGAAGTCCGACTGACTTGAGCCTTATTTATCCATCCAGACTGTTTTGCAGCATTTTGGACATCTTCTACATCATTTACAAATCCTCCATTGAAAGTGCATCAGTTGTTAAATTATAGTGAGATGTTTTCTAAATTGAAATTTACCATTTGTTGCACATACAAAAACAAAATTACTTTTAAATGTTTAAGACCTTTTCACTGTTTCATTCCAGTGCAACCAATATGTGTTTGGATTTACCTCCAAAATGTTAATGCTGCTTATGGCAGCTGTACTCACATGCATGGTCTAACTTTATGACTATGTAAGGGCAACACATTTGTGAGCTTGATGTATTATACAGTAAATAACCTTGATTGATCCTAATCTTCTTCACATCTAACTTTAACAGACAGGGAGACGCCAAACATGAATAAATATTTACTGCTGGTTAAATCCGTCTGCCTGCCTTTCTGCTTAGTAAGAGTGCAAAAATAGAAGAAAAAAAAAAAGCCAAATTGTTTCTTTTACAGGCAGAATCTGCTTAAGTTAATAATTCACCAACAAGCAAGCTGCTGTAAAGTGGATTAATCCTCCTGCTTTTCCACGAAGGCCTAAAATGGGTTAGTTTTTGAAAACATCCTGAGCTCATGCTGCTATTTGTTCTGTGTGACTGATTAATTTATTCTTTGAGAAGACGACTGCGGGGAAATGTGCCATTTTAAGAAATATTCCTTATGCGTCATGTTTACGTAAAAGGAAAGAAGACATACATGCTGCACAGACACTTTCCTCTGTGTCTGATATGCTGCTGTATGTCAGCCTCAGTATATGTGAATTCTGCAGCCACAGGAGTCAACGAAAAAGTCATGAATCCACTGGGGCTGGTGAGTTTGTGTGAATTCCCAGGTGTCATTTAAAATGAATGAGATTGTGAGAGCGTGTGTGATAGGACCAGCAGCTAGATTTCAAACCAAAGCATTCACATTCAAAATTTCCCTGAGGTTTGCACCAAAGGGATCAATAAAGTTCTATTCTATTCTATTCTATTCTATTCTATTCTATTCTATTCTATATACAATGCCAATACTTTAACATGGGAAAAAAGTATAAAGATGGGACTGATTTATTGTTCATTTCATTATTTTATCTGATCATTATGCTGAATCATTGAAGACCTTCTAATAAAACTAAACAGAGCGTACATGAACTCCCCATATGCACAGAATAACACTGTGTTATGACTATGTGGGTCATTTGTTGTATTATGTGTATTTGTGTTTTGTTGCATTGCTGTCTCTCCTCAGTGTGTGTGTGTGTGTGTGTGTGTGTGTGTGTGTGTGTGTGTGTGTGTTCGTGGTTTGTGAA